ATGTGCCCCTTCTGTTTTGGGGGGTTTTGAAGGGGGGCGGAGTCCCCCTCATCGCCAAGAAAATTTTTTTAGACTTGTGAGAGGCTATAAATGACCCCAGATTGATCATAAGGTAACGTGTAACCAACGCTGAAAAGCATTTGACTCTATCTCAATCCATTGAGAAGTTGCAGCACTTTGAAATCAATTTTGATGGAAACAAGAGCTGTCGGTAGGACAGCACGCTCGACTATTCTAAGTGCTTGATAGTAAAAGAGCCTTTATAATGTTAAATTTTTTAAGTTCACAAAAGGGCTAATTTTTTTTATAAATTCATGTTATAGGCCTTAGAGAGAGTATAATTATACAGTATTGGCTTGACTATTCAGAAGGTAATGTCACAAGGGTGTTTTATTGAGTATAATAATACTAATTACCTATGAATACATAAATTTGACAGACAAGGTACAAAGGCTTGTTATTAAGATCATTTATCAAGTAAATCACTGCTTTATTATTATGAATGCACAAAATTGTCCCAAACTAGAACTGCCACTATCATGGCTTGAATACCCCCGCATACCACTTTGTCAGAATCAACAGTGGCGATTTAGAGCTCAAGGACAACCTCCCTGCCAAATCTGAGGTTATGCCAGTGCATTGCTAAGTTATGTATTCTACATGCTTCAAATGTGAAAATGTCAAAATCAATACATTGCGGACAGGACATTCTTTAGCAATTGAGAAGAAAAGCTTTTTTTTTTGTCAAGGTCCCTGTGACCTTGACCTTTGACCCAGTGACCTCAAATTCAATAGGGATCACCTTATAGTCATGACCAACATCCATGCCAAATATGAAGACTGTGGGTCAAAGGAATCTTAAGGGGTGGACAAAAATTTTTTGAAGTCAAAGTCCCTATGACCTTGACCTTTGATCCAGTGACCTCAAAATCAAAGGGGTCATCTACTAATCATGATCAACATCCATGCCAAATATGAAGACTGTGGGTCAAAGTAATCTAAAGTTATTGGGCAGACAAACTTTTTAAAGTCAAAGTCAATGTGACCTTGACCTTTGACCTGGTGACCTCAAAATCAATAGGGTCATCTACTAATCATGACTAACCTCCATGCCAAATATGAAGACTGTGGGTCAAAGGAATCTTAAGTTATTGGGCGGACAAGCTTTTTGAAGTCAAGGCCCCTGTGACCTTGACCTTTGACCTGGTGACCTCAAAATCAATAGTGGTCATCTACTAATCATGACTTACTTCCATGCCAAATATGAAGACTGTGGGTCAAAGGAATCTTAAGTTATAGGGCGGACAAGCTTTTTGAAGTCAAGGCCCCTGTGACCTTGACCTTTGACCTGGTGACCTCAAAATCAATAGGGGTCATGTACTAATCATGACTTACCTCCATGCCAAATATGAAGACTGTGGGTCAAAGGAATCTTAAGTTATTGGGCGGACAAGCTTTTTGAAGTCAATGCCCCTGTGACCTTGACCTTTGACCTAGTGACCTCAAAATCAATAGGGAATCATCTACTAATCATGACTAACCTCCATGCCAAATATGACAACTGTAGGTCAAAGGAATCTTAAGTTATTGGGCGGACAAGCTTTTTGAAGTCAAGGCCCCTGTGACCTTGACCTTTGACCTAGTGACCTCAAAATCAATAGGGGTCATCTACTAATCATGACTAACCTCCATGCCAAATATGACAACTGTAGGTCAAAGGAATCATTAGTTATTGGGCGGACAAGCTTTTTGAAGTCAAGGCCCCTGTGACCTTGACCTTTGACCTAGTGACCTCAAAATCAATAGTGGTCATCTACTAATCATGACTAACCTCCATGCCAAATATGAAGACTGTGGTTCAAAGGAATCTTAAGTTATAGAGCGGACAAGCTTTTTGAAGTCAAGGCCCCTGTGACCTTGACCTTTGACCTGGTGACCTCAAAGTCAATAGGGGGCATCTACTTATCATGACTAGCCTCCATGCCAAATATGAAGACTGTGGGTCAAAGGAATCTTAAGTTATTGGGCGGGCAAGCTTTTTGAGTCAAGGCCCCTGTGACCTTGACCTTTGACCTAGTGACCTCAAAATCAATAGGGATCATCTACTAATCATGACTAACCTCCATGCCAAATATGACGACTGTAGGTCAAAGGAATCTTAAGTTATTGGGCGGACAAGCTTTTTGAAGTCAAGGCCCCTGTGACCTTGACCTTTGACCTAGTGACCTCAAAATCAATAGGGGTCATTTACTAATCATTACTAACCCCCATGCCAAATATGAAGACTAAGGGTCAAAGGAATCTTAAGTTATTGGACGGAAAAGAAAAAACCGACGGCCGGACGGACGGCCGGACGGACAGCCGGACGGACGGACAAGCTGATTCCAGTATACCCCCCTTACAACTTTGTTGTGCGGGGGTATAAAAAGGCACAAACCCTTCAGTAGTTATTGAGACAACAGCTTACAAGCAAAACTTTACCATGAATTTCTAAGTTGAAAAAGGGGAGAAAAATCACCCTAAATGCAAGATAGAATTATGGATCTTTGTCAGTGACCTACAATTATGACCCTAAATGCATATGTGAAGTTTTAAATAAATATCTTTAATAGTTATTGAGATATGTAAAACTACCATGTAAACATTAACCAAGAGACTAAGTAGAAAAGGGGATATGAATCAGCCTTAATGCAAGATAGAGTTTATGGAACTTGGCCAGTGACATACAATTATGACCCTCCAATTATGACCCTAAGTGCATGTGTAAAGTTTCAAGAAAATATCTTTGAAGACCTTTAACCTTTAACCAAAATTTCTAAGTTTCAAAGGGGCAAATAATTCTGCAAATATTGCAGGCAGAGTTATACAATTTTGCAAACTGATGTACATTGTTACTATAAAAGAGTATTTTAAATTTCAATTGAATATCTCGAGCAATAATTGAGATATTTGACTTTTAAAAAAAAAAACTTTAACCAAAATTTCTAACTTAAAAAGGGGCATAATTCTGTCAATATTGTAGGCAGATTTATCCAACTTCAAATTTATATGACAGGCCATATTTAAACATGAAAAACGCAATTTAGGGTAATTTCAAGTATTTTCATCATTTTCTGTTAACCCATTACGTTATATACACGCCTTTTAAAGCCTTTTTCACCCCCCTTTATGTTGTCTCAAATGGTGAAAAAATGCCTTATTAAGGCCCCAACACTTGTTTTTGTTTGAAAAATGTTGTTAAAAAAGTGACCTCTTTTTCGCCGCGCCCCCCCCCCCCCATCAAAAGATACATCAGGGGGTTGCCAGAAGGGGGATGTGCCCCCTTCTGTTTGGGGGGTTTGAAGGGGGGGCGGGGTCCCCCTCATCGCCAAGAAAATTTTGGTCTTGTGAGAGAATATAAATGACCCCAGATTGATCATAAGGTAACGTGTTAACAACACTGAAAAGCATTTGACTCTATCTCAATCAATTGAGAAGTTGCAGCACATTGAAATCAATTTTGATGGAAAAAATCAACGCAAAATAGTGATTTTTGGCAATTTTTTAGAAGTCCCCTCGTTGCCATGGTAACAGAAAATTTAAGTCTGAGCATGTTGTTGCAAGGGTAATGGTCCAGACAACATTTGTGCCAAGTTTGATTGGTGTTGAAGCAGTGTATTATAGCAATTTGAACTTGTAACAGGAGACTTTTCAATGAAAACAGCCATTTTACACAAAATGCTCATGAAGTAATGGGTTAATCGTATATTAAGAATAAAACACAATCATATTCAAATTCTTGTAACTCTCCTGTACCTGCATTTTTATTCACAGGTCAGATTTGAAAACCAATTATATCTTTAATAATACGTACTGAACATTTTGCCTTTTAAAATATCGTTAAATCAAGAATTAAAAGTCTTGGCCTTAATTCTGCCGCTCTATTAGACAATGGTAAACAATCTTATTAATTTATCAGGTATGTGAAACTAGTAACTAGTTCTTAATAACATCACTAACGAAAAGGAAAGTACAGTTTATAAAAGTTAATGTTGATACAATTTATTGCAATCCTACAAAAGTTCAATTAGACTTCAACTTTCATCTATCATTACATTACATTGATATAACATTGCTACAAAACCTGCACTTTCACTTGAAATGACTCCCCCTATTCCTACAAACATCTGTATGAGTCCTTCTACCAACTTCACATTTACTTGACCAAACACGTCCGGTAACATATCATCCCGCAGCTCTTCTATAAATGCTAAAAATAGCTCAAACACTTGAATTGGAATTAGCGAAATAGCACATGACCTGCAACTTTAATTGGACATCATATGGGATAAATATTCCTACGATGCTATAAATTCGCTTTCAAGTTTATTGTCTTGGAATCTTACACTATAAACAATCGCCTTACATAATTGACCGTTCATATTTAATTATTTATCTACTGTTGTGTTTTACATACTTAGATGAGCTTATTTATAGACTAATTGCATAACTTATAACCGCCTCCGTGGTCGAGAGGTTAGAGTCGATGACTTCTAATCCAGTTGCCTCTCTGGCGTTGGTTCGATCCCCGGGACATGCTTTGGTAGTTTAGCACGGAGGAAGGTAGTCTAATTCCTTATTTAAGCAGCACAAATAGAATAGATATAATAAGAATCCCTAAAGAAAGTCCAAAACGACAAAATTGAAATTCGCAGGCTCGATTTCATTGGACCTGTTGTCAAGTGCAAACTACCATCCACGCTCCTAGCATGGGCTTAATTAAACATAATTCAACATTTAAACACGAAAATGGTGAAATTTTGAATTTAGAAACATCCACAGATGTGTTCATACGGCAGTTATCATGGAATCTTCAGTGACACACGGTGTTGTCATTCCATAAAAAACGACGCATGATCCCCAAGTAAAAGAATGCGTGTACCCTAAACGAAAATACAAGAGTTGCATTGTCCATGAGTAAGTGAGAATTTGCGATTGAAAAATCTTAAATCATATGGTATTGTCTGCAATGGGTCGGAGTGAAATCACAAAGTAAACTCACCTCGGTGTGCGAAGAATAATAGCACAAATATGAAAAAGTAAGGAAAATTTGGAGATTCTGGCGCTATAAAACACATAATCGCCATGAGTACTGGTATGCCAACCATTAACACCATGACAATATGAAACATTTCCTTCGTGGTTGGTTTCTGTTTCACACAACTGCAATATTATAGTAAATGACGATTTGTGATATTAGTAAATATTGACTCATAATACGATTGCAATGCCTTGAAAATACATGCATATGTGTGTTTGTCAAAAATAATTACGTTTATTATTTTATGTCAGTTTAAACTTTGAAAGCTCTCTGATTTAATAAAACAAATGAAAGATAAATAGCGATAACCTACATGGTTGTAGATTTGTATCAAACATATGAGATAACTATCTTTGACACATTACGCTATTTACAAAAAAAAAACAACAAAAAAACAAAAACAAAAAAAAAACAAAAAAAACAAGAGGGCCATGATGGCCCTAAATTCGCTCACCTGTATATAGGCCCCGGAGCCAGTTTAAACCCCAGGGCTTTTATTTGAACAAACTTGGTTGACACCCATCAGAAGATTTTTCATGTTTAACATCTAAGTTCTAGCTTGTTGGGTTTTTTTAAAAGAAGATTTTTTCAAGTTTTTTTCTTTACACATATAACACATATAGTTAAAAACAATGACACACCTGGGGCAGGGCCAGTTTTGACCCCAGGGCTTTTATTTGAACAATCTTTGTAGACACTTACTAGAAAATGTTTCATGCTTAATATCTGAACTCTAGTTATTCAGGATTTTTCAAAGAAGATTTTTAAGTTTTTGCTATACACATATAAGGAAAATCAATGTCCCCTGGGACGGGGCCAATTTTGACCCCAGGGCTTTTATTTGAACAAACTTTGTAGACACTCACTAGAAGATGCTTCGTTCTTAATATCTAAACTCTAGCTATTTGAGATTTTTCAAAGAAGATTTTGTAAGTTTTTGTCATACACATATAAGGAAAATGAATGACCCCCGGAGGGGCCAATTTTGAACCCAGGGCTTTTATTTGAACAAACTTGGAAGACACTCACTAGAAGATGTTTCATGCTTAGTATCTATAAACTCTAGCTATTTGGGTTTTTTTTTTTGTTTTTGTTTTTTTTTTTCAAAAAAGATCTTTTAAGTTTTTGTCATAAACATATAAGGAAAATGATTTATACCAAAGGGCTTTTATTTGAACGAACTTGTTAGACATCCATTAGAACATGTTTCATGCTAAATATCTTAGCTCTAGCTCTTTGCATTCTTTAAAAGATTTTTTTTAAGTTTTTACTATATGCATATAGGGAAAATCAATGACCCCCTGGGGCGGGGCCAATTTTGACCCAAGGGCTTTTATTTGAACAGACTTGGTAGACACTCACTAGAAGATGTTTCATGCTAATTATCTAAGTTCTAGCTCTTTGGGTTTTTTAGAAGAAGGTATTTAAAGTTTTTTCTTTTGGTTGCCATGGCAACCAGAGTTCTGCATGGAATGGAATTCTTTGAACAACTTTGTTGGCTTCACACAAGGAACATATAGATGATACCAAAGATCAAATATCAAAGATCTAGGCCATTTACTTTCAGACCAGAAGATTTTTCAAGTTTTCACTATATGTATGTAATGAAAATCAATGACCCCCGGGGTGGGGCCAATTTTGACCCTAGGGCCATTATTTGAACAATCTTGATAGAGGTCTTCTACACAATGTTTCATGCCAAATATCTAACCTGTAGCCTTTGTCAAATCAGAGAAGATTTTTTCAGATTTTACTTTATACATATAAGGAAAAACCTATGACCCCCCGGGGCGGGGCCAATTTTGACACTAGGGACAAAATTTGAACAACTTTGGTAGAGGACCCATAGATAATACCATATACCAAAATTCAAAGCTCTGGCCTACGTACTTTCAGACAAGAAGATTTTTTAATTTTGTGTTTTTGAAATCCTATTCTGGCCCTATGACCATATGCAACAGACCGGAACCATTTGAACAACTTTGAAAGGGGACCACCAAAGGATCATTTCTGTAAAGTTTGGTTGATGTGCAGTCATTGGTTTCAGAGGATATGTTGTAAATGTTCAAAAAGTTGACGACGCACTACGACGGACCATCAAAATAGCTCACCCTGAGCATTGCTCAGGTGAGCTAAAAAAAAAAAAAAAAAAAAAAAAAACAAACAAACTAAAAGTATGATCATCCTTAACCTGCTAGCAGCCAAAGAAATCCGCCTAAGCCATCAGCCAGAACAACTACCGTCTTGACCTGCTCTATACTGTTGCTAGCTCATTTTTTACATTTTGTTATTGAATCCTTTAACTTTGAATGGATTGTTTAAATTTAAAGCAAGGTTAAGGGTAGAGTCTTGTTGGGAATACCTGTAGAATTTTCTGTTAACGGAAAATTTAAATAGCCAGCCAAGTACTGCACCAATCATCAAACCAATGCCTGAAGATAAACTGTATACTGTAGTTTTAACTTCGGACTCAATACCTAATCGTTCAGACATGCGAACGTCCAAAACTTCTACTTGTGGAGGCACAACGCCTGAAATACAATAGAAAAAAACACTATTATTTGTTATGATACCTGTAAAACGTGCAGACTATTTGACTTAAAGACTTATGTTTAATCCATATTATTAAAACTATTCATCTTTGAAAACGTATGCTTACCATTTTTTAAGTATAGAACTGTAAAAATCGTTGTAAAATATACCAGCGAGTGTTTCTAACTTACCAATTTGGTAAATAACGAAAAAGAGAGTACACACTATCCAAAGCCAAGATATTTTTTTGAACACTTTCAAATAATCATGAAACTCTATCGATGAAGGATGTCGACGTTGTCTTCAGGTTTGATAACAGAGTAGGTACTGTAAGCCCAATTACCCCGATAGGAATGCTCACTCCCATACAAATTCTGTAAAATAACAGTAGAGCATGCTTTACAAACAGTTTGGTAACTGAGAGTTGTACAAATTTTTCTAGAAACCGTTAACTTGCTTGGATCTAAAGCGACCAGCCTTTGCAATGAGTATAGAGCGAGGCCAGTCCTGCAAGTTCGTGCAGTCTGGCAAGATTCTGTACTGTTTGTAGGTCAACTTTTGTGTTCCCTCAAGCTTCCAAACAATTATAAAAACGATGAATAAGGTTACAATTTTATTTATTTATTTTAAAAAATGAGGCATAAATTTTAGATGGAAACCAGAAAAAGCGAATCTACCTATATAATGACTGCCATGTTGTTTTTTCACCAGATAAAACAATACTTAGTGTAATAAACTGTCCACAGTATCTGCAAACTTTAGTGATCATCAGTGCAAGTATTCTCTTTGAGGTAAAATACTCCAAAATGGGAATTAAAGAACCAACCTGAACTAAACTCGAACCGATACCTAAATAAATATGGAGAAAAATATATGTGAAAACATAATGCGTGAGTAGTTTATTAAAATAGTGCATTTGAATATGATGAACATTTGTCATGTATAAGAGACGAATTGGTGGCGTTATATAATTATAATAATCATGCAATATTTATATATGCTTCATACCATTAGATACATGTTCTAAAGGTCTCTAGTATTAAACTTAATCTTAAACTTTCGGATAAGCTTTGATTATAGGGAACCATTTTTACAATTTTACTAACCTGTCATACCGTAAAGTAGAAATTTTATGGCATGAACATTTTTGACGAACGACAGTATAATAAATGAAACAGCTAAGCACCATGAACCTATATGAACGGTCCACTTATATCCTAGTACAAGCATAGAAACAGATGCTATAGGTGCTGAAATATATAAAAGCAAAATATACACATGGGTAGACCTAAGATATTAATGTGGAGATATGAAAAAATAAATATATATGTATTATAATTATATAACTATATATAAAATTTAAAAAAGGCATAAAAAATAGCTTTTATAGAATTACAAAGGGTTGCATAAACTTTTTGAAACATTTAATAGATTATGCAAAATTAATACCAAAGCCTCATTATGGTTATCAGTGAAAATAATTGCAATCTAAAGGTTTCTATATTATAACAATAGTTCATTTTGTATAGCTTTTTTGTTTCATAAAACCACTCACCATAAACTCCTGCAAGGCTATTATAAACGTTGTACATCTCTACGAGCGTTTCCTCATTTATTCCTGTATCATCCTTGGATCTTAACAAAGCTAGACGTACACCAGGTTCCATATTCCTATCAGTAAGTTAATTGCTGAACACGATGCTACAACAAGCCAAGCGCGAATACCTCCATCTGGTGGATCTTCTACTGAATACATCTTTACTAAATCTGAATCTGCCGGATTAGTCTCCTTCCTTAAACATTATCTCCGTTTTTCATTTTGCGTTAAAAATGCTAATATTACATGACCATGTGATGATTTTGGATAGAATTTCTTACAGATATGTCATGTTATCTTTATTTTCAATATAAAATAAAATCAATTAATTATTTAACATATATATATATTATAAAAAAAAAGTATGTATCACGAGTCTTTTCATGTAAATAAAGTAATAACAAATCCAAACATCTGCTATTGACATCTTTAATTAGTTAACATTAATAATATCGGTACACTATTCTTTAACAAGATGGTATATAACCAGACAATCATGAAATCTTTAAGTAATCTTTTGTGCATAGATTAGTACATGAAGTGTTTAGGTATTTAACAAATGATATAAAACAATACCATATTGGAATAAAGATGGTATCATAAAACAATTAAATAGTTTATGACAATGGAATTCCTATAGGAATTGTATTTCAATTATCAAATGAACCACAGCTTCCTAATTTATAGCCCTTGAAAGGTCTGGCCTTTTTGACAAAATGTTATCAGATTTGTGTTCTTTGGTGGTAAATCTGTTCGCTGAGACCAATTTTTCTCCTTAGAAATAAAAAGTGAAACACTTTTAATCAATATTTCAAGGCTCATTTTTAGCTCGACTATTCGCAGAATAATCGAGCTAATGCAGTCACCCATTTGTCGGCGTCGGCGTCCCTGTGGTTAAGTTTTTGTATGTAAGCTGGTATCTCCATAACTACTGAAGGGAATAGATTGAAACTTCACACACTTGTTCTCTGTGATTATCTAAGATGATAGGCACAAGTCCCATAACTCTGAGTTGCTTTTTTTCATAATTATGCCCCTTTTTCGACTTAGAAATTCTTGGTTAAGTTTTTGTATGTAAGCTGGTATCTCCATAACTACTGAAGGGAATGGATTGAAACTTCACACACTTGTTCTCTGTGATTATCTAAGATGATTGGCACAAGTCCCATAACTCTGATTTGCTTTTTTACATAATTATGCCCCTTTTTCGACTTAGAAATTCTTGGTTAAGTTTTTGTATGTAAGCTGGTATCTCCATAACTACTGAAGGAAATGGATTGAAACTTCACACACTTGTTCTCTGTGATTATCTAAGATGATTGGTACAAGTCCCATAACTCTGATTTGCTTTTTTACATAATTATGCCCCTTTTTCGACTTAGAAATTCTTGGTTAAGTTTTTGCGTGTAAGCTGGTATCTCCATAACTACTGAAGGGAATGGATTGAAACTTCACACACTTGTTCTCTGTGATTATCTAAGATGATTGGCACAAGTCCCATAACTCTGATTTGCTTTTTTACATAATTATGCCCCTTTTTCGACTTAGAAATTCTTGGTTAAGTTTTTGTATGTAAGCTGTTATCTCCATAACTACATTAGGGAATGGATTGAAACTTCACACACTTGTTTTCTGTGATTATCTTAGATGATTGGCACAAGTCCCATAACTCTGATTTGCTTTTTTACATAATAATGCCCCTTTTTCGACTTAGAAATTCTTGGTTAAGTTTTTGTGTGTAAGCTTGTATATCCATTACTACTGAAGGAATGTATTGAAACTTGAAGGGTTTGTACCTTTTCGGACAATTTTATATATTCATATAGGTAAGCATTATTATACTCAATGAAACACCCTTGTGACAAATTTTCCAATAGTCGAGCGTTACTGTCCTCCGACAGTTCTTGTATTTTTATATAATTCAAATACAATGTATTAAGAATACATTACGATTACATTTTGTATACAATATAACAATGGTTAATTCATACTAAAATACAACTGGCTCAATGACACACAACTATAAACTTGGCAAATAGTCTTTATACAAATTATCTATCTATTCTATGATTAAGTACTGTGGTTGACCTCTAAGATCAATATTATGAATTGACTTTGAGTCTAATATTTCTATGATCCATGCAGTCATGCCAATTATTTACAGATAATTGTTCAGATATAACACTGGTTAGCCATTTATTTCATTTCTAAAATGCTTCTTTTCAATTTCACCATGCATAAATAATCGATTAGAAAATATACAATGTACGGTATAAAATATTCAATGCACGATAATTAAGTGTGATACCAGTACTTCAATAATCGAAAGTTTGCTAGTGTATGCACGTATGTCAGGTTATTGGCAAATACTAGTATGATTCGATGTTGAAAGTACTATTATAGACGAATTTATATCTGCAAAGAATGGTTGCTGGACAGATTCCATAATACTAAACAATGCAATACTTTGAAAAAAATTATGAACATCACTCTTTTAACACGAAATTACCGTTGCAATTTTGGTGTACAATAATCAAGTCCATGCTCATATACATCGATTTCAGATATTTGAACAGAATTTAAAATGCACTTTAATCCAATAAAATCAGTTGGTACATATTTATTCTCTTCAAACAAAAGATCACGCAAAATTAATACCTTATTGAAGTACAATATTGTAGCTTAAATTACTAATTAACTTCGCGTAACAATATGTGGGTGGTTATCGGAATAGCTCAGCCTTTGCAAATATTGTTTTAAAGTTTAAAATAACCTGCTAGGTTTCCATGCATATGTATCTTTGTATGGCTTAACATTGATATTTTTTTCTGATAACTTAGAAAATTATTATCAATTAAAACATAAATATTTTACATGTAATAACATACTCGGGCAATTTTAACCCTAAACGTGCGATTAACCTTGTTGCCATTAATTTACCACTAAAATGATTATGAAGCTGGACTAGGCAATTTAAGAAATTTAGCAGGTTTATGGTTGAATGTTACATATGGCCATTATTATTATAAAGATACACAATTATGGTCTATTAACAAATTGTATCATAGTTTGGGACCTTTCTGTTGAAAATGTGTTAAATCCTAAACATATACATATATAGTGCATAAATAAGATACCCGTACTCTAGAACACGCCCATTGATTGGCTCAATTTTCTGGTGATTACTTATTTTGACGATAGAGAAAGGAATCCCGCCAGGGACTTAAAATGAGCGTCGTCCATGGTGTGTCCGGGTGTTCACGGGTAAAGGTGTGTCCGTCGGGAATACTCTGGTATTTTGCCGACGTTGAGCTTAAAATCGTACTACACAGCTGATATCTGACCAATTCCGGCTGGCCTCTGTGTGGACCAGACTCAATTACGCAGAACCCCATATGGTGGGATGGTTAGGGGGTCTGACCGGATGTCCGCGATTATAGGTGTGTCCGTCGGGAATACTCTGGTATTTTGCCGACGTTGAGCCGAAAATCGTACTACACAGCTCATATCTGCCCAATCCCGACTGGCCCCTGTGGGGACCAGACTCAATTACGCAGAACCCCATATGGAGGGATGGTTAGGCGGTCTGACTGGGTGTCCGCGGGTATAAGTGTGTCTGTCGGAACTACTCTGGTATCAAAAGGGGTCATCTACTAATCATGACTAACCTCCATGCCAAATATGAAGACTGGGTCAAAGAAATCTCAAGTTATTAGACAGACAAGCTTTTTATAGTCAATGCCCCTGTGACCATGACCTTTGACCTGGTGACCTCAAAATCAACATGGATCATCTACTAACCATGACTAACCTCCATGCCAAATATGAAGACTGTTGGTCTAAGGAATCTAAAGTTATTGGGCGGACAAGCTTTTTATAGTCAAGGCCCCTGTGACCTTGACCTTTGACCTGGTGACCTAAATCAATAGGGATCATCTACTAATCATGACTAACCTCCATGCCAAATATGAAGACTGTGGGTCAAAGGAATCTTCAGTTATTGGGCGGACAAGCTTTTTGAAGTCAAGGCCCCTGTGGTCTTGGCCTTTGACGGGTAGGGGTCAACTACTAATCATGACTAACCTCCATGCCAAATATGAAGACTGTGGGTCAAAGGAATCTTAAGTTATTGGGCGGACAAGCTTTTCGAAGTCAAGGCCCCTGTGACCTTGACCTTTGATCTTGTGACCTCAAAATCAATAGGGGTCATCTACTAATCATGATTAACCTCCATGCCAAATATGAAGACTGTGGATCAAAGGAATCAAGTTATTGGGTGGACAAGCTTTTTGAAATCAAGGCCCCAGTGACCTTGACCTTTGACTTGGTGACCTCAAAATCAATACTAATCCTGACTAACCTCCATGCCAAATATGAAGACTGTGGGTCAAAGGAATCTTTAGTTATTGGGCGGTCAAGCTTTTTGAAGTCAAGGCCCCTGTGACTTTGACCTTTGAAGACTGTGGGTCAAAGGAATCTTAAGTTATTGGGGGAACAAGGTTTTTGAAGTCAAGGAACCTGTGACCTTTGACCTGGTGACCTCATAATCAATAAAGGTCATCTACAAATCATGACTAAATATGAAGACTGTAGGTCAAATGAATCAAGTTATTGGGCGGACAGGCTTTCTGAAAACAAGGCCCCTGTGACCTTGACCTTTGACCTGGTGACCTCAAAATCAATAGGGGTAATTTACTTATCCTGACTAACCTCCATGCCAAATATGAAGACTGTGGGTAAAAGGAATCTTAAGTTATTGGGCGGACAAGAAAAAACCGGCAGACGGCCTGACGGACAAGCTGATTTCAGTATACCCCTCTTACAACTTTGTTGTGCGGGGGTATAAAAATACCATGGAAAAGTTTTACACTAACAGATCAAATGGAGGACCGTAAGTATCAAATTTGGAGTAAATCAAACTTATTAGCTTCTTAGCCCTTGACTCACATTATTGGTAATTTTGTTAGAGAAACTTGCCATAAATGGGTACATGGAAGTGTTCAATTAAGGAAAAAAGAAAAGCAAAAAATGTCAACGACACATATATCCCCTTTCTAGCCCTTGACTCACATTACTGGTAATTTTGTTACAGATCTTGCCATAAATGGGTACATGGAAAAGTTCAAGTATGGATAAAAGAAAAATAATGAAGATTTTGTGATAAATAGTTTTCAAGATA